TTTGAATTCAAAACAATTTTCTAGAAACTAATTTCAAAAGATTTAGTCCACAGAAATTAGAAAACAAAAATTAGACAACCAAATGACACAAAGGAAGCTTAACTCTAAGGAGAATTACTAATGATCTAATAGTAATTCATGAACTCAATGATTCAAAATCAAAAGCACCAAAGCACATTTAGTATTCGGTCAAAACATAATTGTTCATGTATCACACAATTTTTTTTAAGCACACACTAGGAATTATGAAACAAGTAAGAACTACACATGACTTCTAATGACAGGTTGAATAGATTCAAAAATTAAATGTCTCAAACACATGAATATGACCGATTCAAAACTCAAAATGAAGAAGACTCAAGAAATAAAAACGCACTCAAGGTAGAAACCTAATGTTTTTTATGGCAGATCGGAAGAAATTTATTAAAATTAAAAAAATTATAATTTCTGACGGATTTTTCTGTCAAAAATTTTGACAGCAATTTCTGACGGATTTTTCGTCAGAAATTTTGACAGCAATTTTCGATGGATTTTTTCGTCGGAAATTTTGACAGCAATTTCCGATGGATTTTTTCGTCAGAAATTTTGACAACAATTTTCGACGAATTTTTCTGTCAGAAATTTCTGACAGAATTTTTTGACGGAATTTTCCGTCGAAAAAATTATTTTCGACTGATTTTTTTTCCGACGCCACTTTTTCTGACGGACCCAGTTAGGATGTTAAAATTTATGTCAGACCTAGTTAGGATCGACGTAAATAATCTACCAAAATTACGGTTCATGCCACCGCGTTTTTATAACGTCGGTGGTGCCATTTTCTGACGTCATTTAGGTGACGTAAAAGCCTCTTTTTCCACTAGTGTTTCGTGCACAGAATCGTTTTTGGGTATGACTAATTCTCGGCCACTTTTCTCTTGCTTTTTACGAGTAGAATTAGTGTAGTTCTCTTAGTTTATCTCTTTTAATCCATGAAGTTATATTACTTTGGCATTGTAATTCTGGAACAGTATGCAAGTTGAACCATGATTTGTATTGCAAATATTTCAATTATCCATTCTGTTCATCTTGGCATTTATATGTCTGGAAATTATTGCTTGTTAATTATTGAAGAATCTTTAGAAACAAGTAATTACTAAATCTGCCTACTCCATTTTCTGTTCTTAAATTAAATACCAAAATTGAAACCATTTACGTGCTAGTTTAAATATAAAGGGTCCACGAATGAATTTCACCGTAAACAAATATAGATGTTCTTATTTCTTAAGGAAAAAGAAAACCATGTTTTAAGATAATTATTAATTGATTGATTGGCATACATTTTTTAAACGTATTTTGAAAATAATGTTCAATATGGACAATTAAAATGTTGTAATTCAAACCAATTCAAATTGTAATTTTATAGAGATAAAAAATCTTTTAAACTGAATTAATATCGCACTTTGTTTTAATATTTGGATCGAATGACTTTTTCACTCGAGATATTGATTCAAACCGAATCACGAGCACCCTTCCCGTCAAACTCTTTGATTAGCTTGCGAAACTTCTTTCACAGTACCTTATTTCATCTGTATAACAAACTAATAATGATCAATATGGAAAAATGAGAATAAAACCCAAGTTTGAATTTTGAATTAATATAGCCTCGTTTTGACAAGGAAGTTAATTTCACCGGAAGAATCTCCAAGGCCACCAGTTTTGACTGTAGGTAGCTAGGCTACGAAATTGTGAATATGGAAAGAACAAAAATCTGCAAGACGAAAACTATGCCACTTTTTAATATATTTTATTTTACTCGAGCCATGCAAACCATTTGATTTTTTCTTTTAATGAACTCATGAATTTTTTTATCTTTTATAAAATTAATTTCGCTCAAGTTGAGTGTAACTTCTTTGGAACAGTCACATATGAATTTGATACTAATAAGTAGTCATTAGTTTGAGTTAAACTCATCTTAAAAAAGTAATGGATTCAAATTATGTGGATAAAAAAATAATTGAATGAAGAGATCCATAAAAAATAATTAGTCAAATTTTCTGCGAGAGATATTTGACATCAACAAAATTTATAAAAATTATAAAAATTTCATACTAATAATATAATTATTAAATTATTTCGTGACAATTCGTTCATTCATTCAGTAGGTTTGAAATTGAAATGAAATGTGCAGTAGCAATTTTTTTTTATTAATTCATTCTTCGTAACTACCCCTTTTATTATTGATTAAATTTGATGTTATAAAAGAAATTGAAACTCACATGATTTAAAAAAGTTATTCAAAAGTATTTTAAAATTTTTTTAAAAATTAAAGCATTTCATCAACATTTTAATTTCTTAAATAAAAAACTTGTTAATAATAACTTTAATGATAAACTTCTATTATTAAGATGGCTTAATATATAGTAAAATTATATCAATATACATTCAATAATTTTTTTATAGAATGTAAATTTAATCAATTTAATTATTTGATTTATTTAATGATTAGTTGGAGTATATGGAATTTCATATAATTTTTAAATTATTTGATAATTCATCATATCACTTTATTTCAATGTATAATATGATATTCAAGTAGGAGGATCGAGTAGTATTCACATAGCTTTAAGCTTAAATCTGCTGTCATCATTATCATTCTTATTTTTATAAAAATAAATAATATGATGTTCAAATATATTTAAGTATCATCGGTTAATCACATATCTAGATGAATTCATATTATGTGAAATTCGACGAATTCATATTATGTGAAATTCGATACGCATAATAATAAGAAGTGTAATATCATATATATAATTTAACGGTTAAAACATTTTAATTTGCGCGTTTTATAAAAAAAGTTATTAAATTTATAATTTTACTAGCTTTAACAATTTGTGTGAATAGATCCTGACTTTTTCCTCTCTTCATTTAATAATTTATGTTTTACATTATATTTTAGCGATTCAACCGTTGAATTAAAATTCTTTAATATATAGGTCAAGTTTATAATTTTTAAAAAATTTAAAAATCACGTGATATTTTGTTATATAAAACTAATTTGACGTATAAAATATTTTGTTTTAAATATCTATCAATTTAAATTAACGAAATTAAATATTAAATAATTTCTTAATTTTTTTTTAAAATTTATAAACTTAATTTATATATAAATACTTTTAATTCAATGATTAAATTATTAAAATTTAATATAAACATAAGTAGAATAAATCTAATAAGATTTATTTTTAGGAAAATGAATTTTGATACGTGAAAGTGGTAATTGCTCAACAAAAAAATCAAATTTGAAAGGTGGAAGTGGTAATAGCTCAACAGTCAACAAAGGAAAGCGTGAACTAAAAGGCGAATGGGAACCCCAAGCGTGTGGTTCAGCGGTAGGGGTTGATCCACGCTTAAGCAAGGTCAGGGGTTCGAATCCTGCCTTGTGTATGCAGCCGCGTTAAATTTTGGGGTCAGCTATCCCACCCTTTGAGGTGCCTCCAACGTAGCGAGGAGATTAGTCACCACTGTCGGCAGTGGATACTCCACCCTTTGAGGTGCCTCCAACGTAGTGAAGAGATTAGTCACTGCTGTCGGCAGTGGATACTCCAAGAACGGCAAAAAAAAAAAGGCGAATGGGCTACATGATATGTAAATAACTATATATTAACCGGCTATCATTTGCATTATTGATGGAAGACGATTGAGAATTAAGAAGGACAAGAAGAAAAATAAAGTAATCATGCGGTCATGCCCCTAGTTTTGAAGTGTGCTATACTTAGACAAGGTAGGTAGGGGCTGCTTGTTTGAACTGAAACTATACAGGGGGCGATTATTGGACATTGGTTCATACCTCATATGCCAAGAATGTGTTTATTGCACCTATATTGTAAGTTCTAGTACCACATATATAAAAATATCAAACAAGAAAAAAACTCAAGTTGGAAATGTCGTTACCTACAGAATACAAAATAAAGAATGCGGATAAAGAGGGAAATAAATGAATGTCTCAAACGTTAACTCAAGCTTGATTCCTATGGCCTTATTGTCTTTTTCCAAAATAATGACAATTTCTTTTTTTTAAATGTTGGTCTTCAAAGTATTTGCTAAAGATTGCACAAGCAAAATATTAACCTATTATAAATACCGATTTTCCATCGTCTGTTTCTCTCTCAATTTTGCAAATGGACGTTATGTTTTCATTAGCTAAGTTTATATTTTCTCTCAGAATTAATATTCCAGTACCATTATGGAAGCATATTATATTATTGTCCTAAGTTTTTGCTTTTTTGGTTGAACCACCTGAGCGTAATCTTTATCCACATGCATAATATGGTTAGCAAGATTCATACATCTTAGCTGGCATTTGTTACCTCATGAAGGTGAAGACAATAAAAATTATTAGGGTGGGGTAAATTATGTGGTCCTTCCCCACTTCCTAAGCTAGTGCAACCGAGAGTCCTATTTGGCAAGGTCATGCTTTGCACTGTGCAAAAACAGCAAAAACTCCTTTCTGTTTCATCATTCAATTACTCTTCCGGTCAAACCCAAAACCCTGATTTTCTTATCGTTAATTAATCTAAAAATTTCCGTGTACTACTGTTCCATTATTTTGTTAAAGTATATGGATTATTGATTATTGACTTTAGCAAGTAAAACTAACTAACTTAAACCTCATATTCACCTAAGAATCTTTTCTGACAAAACAATAAAGAGAAGCGTGGAAATGTGGTGTCCTTTTAACTTGGAAGTATAATAAGTGGTAAATGTAACGAAACTACGCGATCCTTGCAGTGAAGGTTCCAAATTATTGTGCACAGACACACACACACACTATATTTACAGGAGAAAAAGAAAATAAAAAAGGAGGTAGCTGTGGAATCATGGTGGCCCCTCCATTTTGCATATTTAGTATATGTTGCTGAAAAGTACAAGAAGTAGGAAAGAGAAGTGGTTATTTCGTCGGTTTGTGCCGTGAAGCCTAAGTTTATAAATTGACCAGACACACCTGGCTCATTCGTGACTTGGCTAGGCAAAGCCAACTAGTGTAACCTATTCTGATTTTTTCTCCCCGCAACTTTTTTCATTCTATAAAAGGCCTTATTCAGCAGAGTAACAAGCCACGTACCATAATCGCCTTCTCCTCTCTTCTCTGTTCTTCTCCACACCCCTCGCTCCCTTTCCAATTTCCCTATACACAAAGTTTGTATTAAGGTATCTAAAGATAGATACGATGAGGAACCAAAATGTGGTGAGTCATGAGGTTATTAACACGTTGATTGCTGTGGCAGCGTCCATTTCAAACTCACCCGTCTTACCAAGTGGAACAGTGCCAGAATCGCTGGCTGTGCTTGGTGGCTTTTGGGGCATGCCCCGTAAAAATCTTGTCAAAAGGTTGGAAGGTGCTAAAGTTAGCGCTTGGATTGATTCAATGAGAGCTTCTTCCCCTACTCGTGTTAAATCAGAAACCCAAGAAAAAAAATCTTGGATTGTAAGCACAACATATCACATGTGAATGAATATGTGCTTTATCATAATTATAAGTCCTTTTAATGCTAGCTGCTCATCTCACTCTGCTTCTATTTTGCAACAGCTTTATCATCCTTCAGCTCTCAACACCTTTGAACAAATATTGCATAGCTCCAAAGGAAAGCAGATTGTAGTTTTTCTTGACTACGATGGAACTCTCTCCCCTATTGTTGCAGATCCAGATAAAGCTTTCATGACTAGAAAGGTTTTTCTTTTCTTCCCACTTGTCTCTTTTATCCACATCCATTGAATAGACCTTATGTTTGTCACTAATTTGCGTCCTTGTTTTGTCAAATTAGATGAGAGCGACGCTTAAGGGCATAGCAAGACATTTCCCCACAGCAATCGTGACCGGAAGGTGCAGGGACAAGGTACATTTTCTTCAAAGCAACAAAATACAAAAAATGACTTGGAAGTGATTATTTATTAATTATTATCATAAACATATATATATTTTTTCTTTCAGGTATATGACTTTGTAAAATTGGCAGAACTGTACTACGCTGGAAGCCATGGCATGGACATCAAAGGGCCAACAAAAATCCAAAGTCCAAAGCAAGTGAGAGAGAGTTTCTGAAACTATTTAATGTGTTGAAGATTATTTGCTTCTGTTCTTGCTGCTTAGCTTGGCCATTTGTTGCTTTGTTTCAGGATAATAATAAAACAGTTTCGTTCCAACCAGCGAGTCAATTCCTGCCCATGATCGATGAGGTTCGTTTTTATTTTTTACAACGCAAACTTGTATATATTGAATTTCCGCCAAATTGGCACACAAGAGATTAACCACGTCATACGTTGTAAAAAATAATGGCAGGTGTACAAGATCTTGTTGGAAAAAACAAAGTGTGTCCCAGGGTCTAAGGTTGAGAACAACAAGTTTTGCTTATCCGTGCACTTCCGTTGTGTTGACGAAAAGGTAGCGGTCAACATACCATATAATTGCTGAATTAACACAATTACCAAATCCACACGCACACGCAAAAATAAAATAAAAATACACATTAATTGTCGTTAACCACATTTGTATCTATTTAACCATTTTTACCCCCTCTGTTTTGTCTTTAGAGTTGGGCAGCGTTGGCGGAGAAAGTTAGATTGGTGCTGAATGAGTACCCACAACTTAAGCTAACCCAAGGAAGAAAAGTGCTAGAGATTCGTCCAACCATCAAATGGGACAAGGGCAAGGCTCTTGAATTTTTGTTAGAATCCTTAGGTGAGTATATATACTCCACTCATGCAAATTGAAGTAGCCTTACTTTGACACCTACCTTATAGTTATAAACATATATATATATATATACGTATGTCCTGATTCACTATTATATTATTTGCATATTTCTAGGATACGATAATTCGAATGATGTGTTTCCAATCTATATTGGTGATGATCGAACTGATGAGGATGCTTTTAAGGTAATAAATGCCTCCACCTAGTTAGCTAGTTTAGTTAAAAGTATATATTCTATATATATATATATATATCATTTTCACCTGCATATGTTAACTGACTTGTTAGCATTATGGATATAATATGATTATCAGGTTTTGCGCAGTAGGGGTCAAGGAATTGGGATTCTTGTTTCTAGAGTTCCAAAAGAAACCGATGCGTCCTATACCTTGCAAGATCCATCAGAGGCAAGTCCATTAGATCCATATTATCATTCACGCGTGATCAATCTTTTATATCTTTATTGTGAATGGTGAGTCTTAAAATAAAAACATAATATAATAATATTATCTTTATTCCCACATATACAGGTTGAGCAATTCTTGCGGCGTTTGGTGGAGTGGAAAAGATCGAGTACTGTGAGTGTGACTCCCACAAGTGAATAGAGTTGTAGATTGTAGATGATCAGTTGAAAGAATTGACACCACCTTAGAATGGTGAAGGGGTGGATCGAATTGTATCACACTTTCTTGTTGGAAATGGAAAATAGCATTATTCCATAATTTAATTTAAATTTTGAAGGACAAAGTCGGAACAGATACATTCCTACACACGTTTGCATGCGCATGCGGATAGTGAAAGGCAGATGTTTTATGCCGCAGTTGCAAATGGCAAATGGCCCGTCAACTGTGTTGCTCTGAATTGTACTTATCGTACATGTGCCCAATATATACTGAAAAAGATAATTACATTCTCCATTTTCAAAACCCGATTTAATTAGACATTCACAAATACAAAATCACTTAGTTTAGGAAAATATTAATGTGCTAATATAACTAATCCTTGCATAGAAATAAGTTTATCGTAACTTTACAAACATTTCATATCAATAATATATCGTGTATTTGTTTGTTCCTCCCCTCTTATCCATAGTTTTCTTTCATTGTTTGACGTATGCTTAATTTATGATTATCTCAGTAAACATACAACAAATAACAAAGCTTTTTTCATTGTCGTGTTTATTTAGTAAAAGTAGTCTTTTTTACTTTAAAGACGTGCGCATGCTTATAAATTATATTTTTATTTAATATTACTATTTCTTTTCCATCTTTTTATTTTCACCCCTATAAACACAAACCAAATTCAATTAAGAGAGAGCAAATTGAAATTCATCTTTTAATTGTATGAGCAATTAATGCAGTGCTTCCACTATTTTGTAGCATGAACCTCGATCAATAAACGGATACTGAAATTATTTTTAATTTCCTTATATGACTTTATTATATATCTTTTATCATGAGTAATAAAATGTTTTAAGAAATAAACATAAATAAAGATATAATTTAAAATTAATAAGTAATGTTATTTTAAATAAATTTTCTTTATTTAAAAAGGAAAATAAAAGTGGTTGTTATTAAAATAAAGCTGTGATTATAGTGATAGTTTGTTCACTTTTTTTTTGTTAACTAAAAAGTTTAGGCGAGTTTTATATTTTGACATCGATTGTGGCATAGATATATCAGTTTGTAGATATGGTTTCTGACTAACTACATATGCCACAAACATTTTAAAGTCGAAAAAGTTATGGGTAGCAGTGTTGTCGGGAACTCCAGTTTAATCAATTTGGCAACCAGTTAAATGAAGGCTAAAGAAAACTAAAGATACAATAAATCATGTGTGAAATCTTGAACTTGGTGTCTTTTACGCTCATATCCACAATAATAGTAGCAACATATCATTAATCTTTGGGTTTTTAATTTTTCTCAAATTTTAAGTAATGTCTTAGGCAAGGGAATAAAATAAAATGTTAAAAAATATTCAAACATTAAAAATATAGTCATTTAACATCCATTTTATTAATAATTAAAAGTATTTAATGAATGCATCAGAACAATATATATGTTTTATATATAATAAATAGAAGAATTACACCAAAAAAAACATAAATAAAAAAGCATGTATCAAATAAGAACATATATATGAGAAAATTTTTAAAGTTTATTTCATCTTGCTTAAATTTAATATGAAATCAAATTGTTAAGATAAAGTGATAAACCCTTTTCTCATTCCCTCATATTCCTTCATAACATATATACACAAGACACATGCACACATTGAGAAGTATCTCGTGCTCAAAAAATTTCTCTGTAAAGATACTCCTTGTCACCATATATAGAACTCACAGCTTGAAGACTGCACGCGTGTTGAGATTGTATCGATTGATTTTGATGACAGCTGTTAACCATTCACACCACTAGAAAAATACTATTCAACTTTATTATATCTACATCGATTCTAATAAAAATGATAGTGAATAAAAAATACGGTGACAATTTTATAAATAAATAAAAAATATAAGCATATTTACATTAATTTTTTGAAAAAAAAATAATATAAATGTAAACAATTTTACATTAATTTTGTGGGTGATCGATGTAGAAATAAAATTACTAAAGTATTCTACCTCAGGTTTTCTATTGACGAATGTAGAAATGAAGCCAAATTCTTTCAACTCACGAGCACACACTCATCTGGAAACAAACCCTCTCGACTGATATCACATCTCTTCTCAACACTCTCAAGTGTGCACTCTTCTCGACTAACACAAACTCTTGCTGATCTTCGATTGATGACGGTCCAGGGAAGCATTGAAGTCGTCTTCGACGAATGGTGTGTTAGGCAAACCTAGTGAAGCCCTTTTTTGTTGCTTATCTTAGTTTTATTTTTTCTTTGTTGTTGCCTTTCTCATCTTGTACATAAAGAAAATACTTTTATATCTGACTGCTTTTAGTCCTCCATTTTAATGGAATCATTTCATCTTTCATGACTTTTTTAAAAAATAAATCAATGAAAATCTTTATTTTTCTGTTTTAGTCTTTTAACTTGATATTTTTATTATAGATAATTTTTTTTTACTACTCATATAATTATCTTTTTTTTATTCTTTCTCTTCTCTTATTATAATTGGTATACAATTATTTTTAACCTTTTCATAGAAAATAAATAGAAGTATAAAATGTCTAAATCCGACTAGTAATTATAAGTAAAATGCTTAAAGTGAATTATATATATATA